CCCGCTGAGACGGGGTTTCTGGGTCCCGCAGCCGCCCCGGAAAGCTGTGGATCCCATCTGGCAGCAAAGGGTGCCAGCAGCTGCGTGGGTGGGTGATGGGGAGCCCACCAGCGTCCCGTGCTGGGTCACGAGGAATGTGCCACCAGCATCGTTTCCTCCCGATACAGCCCGGGGCTGCCACATGTGCCTCCATTTATCCCTAAAGACCAGACCTGGAGGTCCTGGTCCTGCTGGTACTCACTCTTTGCTGAGGGAACCATCTTTTGCCCAGCCCAGCATTAGCCGGAGCACAGGATTGCTCGGGCGTTTCACGACTGTTTGAGCAGAGCAAAGGCCTGAGGACCAGTTTGGGGACATTATTCTGAGTCCTCTTCCACTTTCCCCATCCCGGTTCTACCTCTGAGCCTCAGTGGGTCCCAGATGCGTTTACAGGGAGATTTTAGCTGTTTTCTTATTTATTATTTTTTTTACAACTGGAACCACCTTTGTTGTGTTACTGAAGTGAACGATTGCACAATGGTCCGTTTTCGTTACTAACACAATACTGTCATTATAAAATAAAATGGAAAGAGAAAAATACTGTGACAACATGGGTTTTTTTGGTTGTGGGCTTTCAGTTGACTTTTACATTCTAATTTTGGATGACTTGCAAAGCATACTAAAGCAAGCTGCTTGTGCTGGATGGCCCGAGGGGCATCTGCAGTCGCTCTAAAAGTTGCAATGCCAGGAGCAGAAGAGGAAGGGCAAGACTTACGAGGAGTATAGCTTCATGGTATTTGGCTTGTTGAAGAGAACTGAACAGTTCACAGCAGAATGAACGCAGAAGTTAAGTTTTTAATATATTAGTTGCCAGGGTGTTCACTACTCTTTGTGTTGCCCACCATTTTGTGGGCACTTTACAGGACCCAATACCTATTTAATATCAGTAAGGCACTGTTGTCTTAAAAGCACAGGAGGGGTCAAATTAGGGCTGCTGTTTGCAAAAGCTGCTTTTGAGTTGCTGTCATAAATAATACTTGATTGTTATCAGTAACTCAGCTGATGATTGAATTCCTTTACAAGGGGGGGAGGTATCTGGCTGTAGGGGAGATATTAGAAAACATCGCAGCCCGTGCTGTCTCTGAGGTCGGAGCAGTCCCTGCGTCCCTGCGGGATGCTGCGGGAGGGCAGAGGCGGGGTGCGTGGTGGGCGCACCCCCAGGGACCGCGGGAGCACCGGAGGGCTGCCGGCGGCACGAGCAAGGCGGGGAGGGCAGCTTCCACGCGTAGCACAGAGCGGCTAACGCTCCGAATGAAAACCAAACGAAGCATGTCGTTACCTCGGCGTCTTTCCGTTTATTGCGTGTTTTGGAAGCCAACGTTAACTGGCCGGCGTCAGCGGGGGAGAGCGTGAGTGGGCTGCCGAGGAGGAGCTGGCATCACAGGCGACTAACTCCGGAGCGCTTAGGTCCCAAGGTATTACTACTAGCACGAGCCAGCCTCTGCCATTAAAAAGCCTTTCACAAGCAACTGTGTCGGCAACACCACCTTATGTCTCTTCCAACACTCCCGTGCAGGGGCCAAGGATCATCATTCTCTATAAAATACATCAACCCTTCTCCAACCCTCTTCCCTACAGTTGTCATCCACCTAACTGGCGGAAGGCAGTTGAAACTTCCCCTTACCTTTTATTCACTATTTCATTAAGTGTGGCCTTGGCTGACACGACGGGCGGTTCAGAATTGCAGCAATCTGCATGTCTACCCGGCCTTAGTGCATGTCAGAGGGAAGAAATGAGCTGAAGGGTGTCCAGGAAGTATTTAAATTATCTGCCATGAAAGACTTGGTGAGAGCAGCAAAACAGCCTAAAAGCAGATAGATGTAAAATAATGATTTTCTTTTAACTGCAGTTTCTAACTTAAAAAAAAATGCATGTTTTGTCTTGCATACCTTGAAGTTAATTTAAAACTAATTCTCTGTGTAAAAAAAATATTTAAATTGGCCAAAAAAAAAGGGAAGAAAAATTTAGAATGAAAATGTTTTTGAGCTTTCTTCAGAAGGAAATTTGGGGCTGTGTCTACTCTTGATGTACCACGGATGGAAATGGATGGCCCAGGCTGAGCCTTATCCTTGGTGGTAGTGCTTAGACTCCACAGCTGATACCGGAGCATCCCATTTGCAGCATAGTTCATCCCTAATGAGGCTGAGATACGTCCCGAAGAGAAAACTCGGCCAGTAAAACCACGCTTGCGTCCAGCATGTCCTCCGTGATTGCTGGCAAAACCCAGTGGTAATATAACAAAACCTTTAAAGCCTTGGGAGGAAAAAAAAACCCAAAAACCAGCCCACAAAACCACGTTGAGAAAGAGGAGCTGAAGCTTCCGGGGACTGCCTGTGGACTCGGCCGGCTGTGGTTGCTTCCAATAAACCACGACCAAAGTTTCCCAGGGTGGAGGCTGTGAATTTGGAAGCAGCAGAGGAGATCTCGGCTCCGGGGAGCAAACACAGGGGCTGGTGCTGGCTCCCCCCGGGCATGACACATACTTGCTCCAGGGCCAGGTTTCCATGAGCCGGGATGGGGGGTGGATTTATTTGGTGGAAAAAACCACCAGTTTCCCTCTGTCTTGGGACCCGGCATGTTCCCAGCAGCGGCTCGCCGGGGGGGCGTCGCC